GAAGGAAGGAAGGAAGGAAGGAAGGAAGGAGCGAGGGAGGGAGGGAGCGAGGGAGCGAGGGAGGGAGCGAGGGGGGGAAATCTCTTTAGGAACTACCATGACCTCCTGAAGTGCATCCTGGGCTTTTCCCAAGCAGGTTCCAACCCTGTGCCATGCTCAAGGGCTTCCCTGGCTGGGGGCCTCACCCCTGCCTGGCTCCAGGGGCTGTGTTTATTTGCACAGTGTGTCCACGTTCCGGTTTCCGCCCTGCCCACAGGAGGGAATGCTTTAAAGAAACTCTGGATTATTAATGTGGTTTCTTTTGTTGTAAGTCACTGAAAAAGGCAGCAGACAAGGGTTTATTTTCCTATCGCGGTTGGCGTATTTCAGCGCCCAGGCACAGCTCTTGGCGTTTGATTTGGGAGGAACCCGAGACCCTCAGTTTGTTTTGAGTCACCGGTGAAGCCACAGCGGCCAGGGCCAGAGGAGGGGGCGGGAGCGGATACTGGGAAGCCTTTGGCAGGAGGGTGGGACTGGATGGAGGAGCAAGATGTTAAAACAAAAGCCATGGGGGTGACCCTGGTTTTCTGAACTAGCTACACTGGCAGACTGAAAAAGCATCCCTTTTCTACTTCATTTGTTTCTCCAGCAACTTTTCTTTTTCTACGAGAAGGCCGCTCATCTCTCTGCCAGTCTCTCTTGTTGTACCTCGGAAGGGCCCCAGAAGTCACTGGAAAACCCACTTCCAAGTGTGCGTGGGACCTCACTGTCAGAAACCCAAGACGGGGAGATAGCACCCTTGTGACCCGAGTTCTGGTACCGCTACATGTGTACAGGCACACATGCGTGTGAGTGTGTGCGTGGTACTGGCAATGGAACCCAGGCCAGGGTCACCAGCCTGAGCCCCCTCGTCTCTTTTTCTTCCTGTCCCTCCCTCTGCAGGTCTTCCTCTCTCCCCACCTCGATCTCACTCGTCAGAGGTAAACCAGGGCCTCCCTTACGGGGGGGGGGGTGGGGGGAGGACCTGGTCCTCATCCCCAAGGAATTGTGAGCTACGAGGCACCCTGCTCTTGCTTCGCCCCTGGCTGCACTGAACCTTTCCATTGGGGCCTTCAACCGACACCTCCCAGGGCACGTGGGCCAGCCGATTATCACCAGAGGTGGGCAGGACAGCCTGGCACCACCTCGGGGAAGGTGGGTACCGGGTAAGGGAGTGAGCCTTCTCTGAGCATGGCAGATGCAGGCTGGCGCATGAGGTCAGGTGTCCCCGGCACTCACAGGATCCAGTCTTAGGGGTCTAGATTTGTGATTATAGTTTTTGTCCTTACTGGGGCTTGAACTCAGGGCCTTGTACTCTTGCTTAGATTTGCCACACAACCCTGGAGCTCTATCACTTGAGTCACAGCTCCACTTCTGGCTGTGTGTGTGTGTGTGTGTGTGTGTGTGTCTGTGTGTCTGTGTGTGTGTGTGGTTAGAAATAAGAGTTTCACAAGCTTTCCCACCCCAGCTGGCTTCACACCTTGATCCTTGGATCTCCGCCTCCTGAGTAGGTAGGATTACTGTCGTGGGCCACCAGCGCCTGACTAAAACCAGTCAGGTGACTAAGCTGCCATCACCTCCATCTGTCCTGAGAAGCTGAGACTCCCAGCCAGCCTGGGACCCTGAGGTGCAGAAAGTGGGTTCCCTGGGGATAGGGAAAATGCCGACCTTTCCTTTCTCACCACAGATGTTTTGGGGAGCATAAAATAATCAGGTGGCACTTCTTCCTAGCCCCCACTGCAGGGGACAGGGTGGTGGCTTCAGACCACGCCAGCTCTCAGGACTTGGGTGAGCTGCTGACCCTGATCCTCCGGGCTGCTCGTCTTCTCCCCACCCCCCACGCCTTCCTACCCAGGCCTCAGGACTCTGTGATCCTGTGAGGTTTTTTTTTTTTTTTTAAAACAGCCACTTGGGTGGA